GTGTGTGGTCTGATTTCTCTAAAATCTGTACTGGACGGATACAGCTGCCCCAGTGTTCTTAAGTCACAAAGTTGATCTTTTGAACTTTCTTTGGCTTTTTCTCTGAATCCCGCAGATGGAAGTTATCAGCAGACCTGATTTCTGGGTTTTCATAAACCGGTGGTTAATTTTTGAAGTCTCGGGTCAGTCACGCTGGCTGATATTAGAAGATCGCCAGGTCTCTGATTGTGGTCCCCCAAACAAGAATAAATAAGGTGGCTGTGTCACTGAAATGGTTCTTAAGAAGAGAGAAACCCTTACCAAAATAGCTAGCGGGAGGCTGCTTCTGAAATTGCAAGGCGTGCCTTACTGGCCAGCGTAGGAGCAAGCTTGACCTGGAGTTACCGAAGATGGGAGAAGTCAGGTAGAAAGGGGATACAGTTCCTGCGGTCTCGCGTCTTGCTTACCTCCTCTAGTCCTAGTTATGTGCTGGGCGCAGCAAGAACATGATGTTTCCTTTCAACTTGTTTCTTTGAGTATATTCCAGCCTTGTTTTAGTTGCTTTGCCAGGCTCTGGCGTGTCAGAAGCGCATGCCTTAACAGCTGCACAGATACGGCTACGTGACAAATTCGAAGGTGAAGTTTGTTATGGTGGTGGATTCTTCAAACACAGCACTTCGAGACAATGAGATCCGCAGTGTAAGTGCAGGAAATCAGAGCACAACTTGCTACATCAGTGTTTTTGCTACTTCCGCTTATTCATAAAGTGCTGAGAAGCAAAAAAAATTTAATTAAACTACAATCCCTTTTCAGATGTTCCGAAAACTGCATAATTCGTATACGGACATAATGTGTAACCCTTTTTATAACCCTGGGGACTGTATCCATTCCAGGTAAGCGGGTTGACCGTACTGATCTTTCTGATCTTTCTGGAACTTGCAGTGTACCTATGATGTAATAGGACCAAGAGCATAACCCCTGTGGTCGACCAGTTCAGATGTGCATGCTCCAACTGCCTAAATGGAAAACAGCTGTCTGGTCTTTGGGCCATTACTGCATAATGGAAAACTCTGATCAAAGTCTCATGAGAAGTTACATTGAACTCTCACTCCCGCCTCAGAACTGGTGTTAGAAACATTAGCTCAAGAAAAGTAATTTCTTGGGGAGAAAAAGTTACTTGTTTCATAGGCAAATGTGAGCATAAACATAGATAAATAGAGCAGGTTAAACAGTGAACAACTGCACTTGTCCAGGGCTTATCCTTGGGTAAGGACAGATGGGCGTTCAGCACGCCTAATTCCTCACATGTGAGGGCCAGTGCCCCCCATTTCTCATCTGGAATCTCACAGGGAATGTTAATAATGTTGAGAGTTTCTATTGCCTAGGGAAGAACAACTTCTTTTACACTCTGCTGAGGCAGGTCTACAGCCAGGATAAGACCTGTCCTTACTTCAGCTTAATTAAAAGTCATTATTCACTCAACAGAGCATGCTGTAGTTAAAGAGTGAAACCATGTATTCAGCCTGGGGAAATCCAGCTTGTTAACCAGGAAGAGGCATCGTTAGCCATTGGTTTTGTTACAAGAGATCTGCTGTGCAGAACTAGCCGCTTCCTTTAATATTCTGTGTTCATTTCCTTCTCTAGGGCTTTTGATAATATGGTGAACTCCATGATGATGCAGGTGTGCTGAGGCTCTGCCCCTTCTCATCTCAAGTGCTGAGAACATTCCCCGTGTACAGGAGCGTGCCTGCCAAGTGATGTATATATTGTCTTCATTCTGTGTAATATTTTAAGTTTATTCTATGTAAAATAAACTCGACACCTGCAAGGCTTGCACGCGTTTCTACTCTAGCAAGCCTGTGTATAGCACAGAAGTCACTGTTCAGCTTTCTGCCTTCAGGTAAATGTGAGAGCCAGCTCTTCCTTCAGGAAGGTCAGCAGTGTCAGGAGGTTTGTTCCCTACAGAAATGTGTGCAGCTGTGCCCCTGCGCAACTCAGATGTTTCTGTAGAAATGGGGCTTTGTGTAAAAACAGCAGTTCCTGCTGTGCTTGTGATTAGAGCAAGCACAGCTGCACAAGAGACAGCTAAGAGATTATTATGAGGGTCAACCTAGATTTCAGTCAGATGAGAGGCAGGGATAGTGACACTGTTCCTCAGAAGTACTGGTGCATCAGGGCAGTTCCTCTGAAGCAGGAGCAGCACATCAGCAACAGTAGTCCTTTTGCTCTTTGCCAGCCCCCTTCACTGCTCAGGACCGTTCATTCTGACAGGAACATCACAAGCAATGCTTAATTCAAACACACTTGGGCTCCTTGTCCTGTTTTTCCTTAGCTGGGAGCGCTCAGATCTGTATGTACTTACTCCGTTAGTTCTTGGAAAGAGAAAACTCTGCACATCAGCCAAAGGCTCCAGGTTTCTCCGCAACCCCAGCCACTGTTTATGTACTTGAGAAAGCTCTGGCAGACAGCAAACAGCTGGTCTCAAAGCACCACCTTGAACCCGATCAAGCCCTGCACTGATCTTGCCTTCCTGGGGAAGGTCTTTGGGTGACTCACATTCGACAGCATTTGCTGTTAGCAGTTTGCACCTCAGTCAGACAGGCCGGGCACACTTAACAGCATTTCTAGCCCAGGTCAGGGAGCACAGGTAGTGCAGCTGGGATAAATCCACACCAAGAGATTAAGACATGAGGATTGCACAGCTGCCTGGCTCATCCCAAACTAATCTCTATTAGCATCTCCTCCCTCTGCAGCTCCCTGCTGTTCTAATTAAAGACTACCAAATCAATAGCAGGTATTTATATAGAAAAAAATACAAGCTAGACTAGAAAAGCATCCCAGCTTCTTCATCACTTGTGCAGTGCACTCGCGCTACGCAAGGCTGTGCAGCTGCAGCAAGTTCAGCAGAGGTAACGCAGGCAGGCGTAAGCACTGAGCAGCCACTCGGTGCTTTTCACCCACCTCTACTCCGAGTCCTTCCTGCCCCGCAGGCAGCAGTCTGTGCTTCAAGCACCTAATCAGTTAAAAATACATAAAACATAGCTAAAAATACAAAAAAAAAAAAAGAGCTCTGCACAGCTCCAAAGGATACAAGAAGCCCGGAGAAAGCCAGGTCAGCGTAGAGCGTCAGCTCACAGCCAGCGCAGCCTCACTGCAGATGAAGTTCACACAGCAGGATCATTTATTTTAAAAATAAGTGAAATTTACAGTACCTTCTCAAACAGAACTTAAATACATTTAATCAACAACAACCTGTCAAATAATGGGAGATGAAAGTGTTTGAGCTTCTCCCACCATCTAAACAAGGCACAGCTGTACACTGCTATTCCAAAACATTTTCATATAAAAATCTTCACTCTTTTCACTCACAGAGACAGGAGCTCAGCATTTCCTCTTCCACAAGAGACTCCGAACACCCCAAAGTAGTTTTTGTTAAAAATTTAAGTCTCAAGAATTTACAAAGCTACTAAATGGAAAGTTTAAAGCCCTAGAAAAAGCCAGTTTTGTAGTCTAAGCCTGAGGGTAGCTCGGATCAAGACCAGCCTCGGCAGCAGAGTCCACGCTGGGCAAAGTGCAAAATCAACACAACATGAAGAGTTAAGGCCCCAAGCTCTAAAAAAAAAATCCTGAGATCTTAAGGGGGGGGGGGGGGGGGGGAAACCAGGGGGATTTTTAGCCTGGCAATGCCCCCTGAGCTGTGAAAAGCTGCTTTAGGAGTCGGTCGCATCTGTTGCATCTGGGTTAGAGGAATCCTAACCAAGGATCCCGAAAGATTAGCGTGAGAATTACGTAATAAAGCCGATTTCAACGCAGAACTTCACACAGTAACGCTGTCTGCTGGTGTTCGCAGCCTGCCTCTTTTAACACAAAGTTTTTCCTTTAAAAACGAGCGGTTTCAGAGCTCATAAACACAAGATCAGCAGGAAGGGGAAGTGCCAGGCAGCGCTTGTTCTCCGGTACCCAGCTCCTGTGGTGCGCTTCGGTCCTGACCCTCTCGTTCAGCTGGGCTCACGCCATCCCCAGATGCGGATCTGGAGCAGGAATGGTGACAGGAGTAAAGAGGAAGATCAGACCAAATTTGCAACAGATTTTGTAACGCTGCTACTGCTAGAAATAGAGTGATGCGTTAGCAGCACTCTTTGATCCCTGTAGCTTTGGGATAAAAGCAGGAGGTAAGAGGGGGTTGTTGACTTCCGAAATAAAAAGGGGGGAAGGGTTTTGTGACACCCAGGTCTCGTTTAACCACCACGGAGATACAGAGGCTTCCAGAGAAACAGCAAGGGATGCTTTTTCCCTCCCCCAGTTGTACAACAGCAGCAGCGAGCCAAAAACCAGACCCAAACAAAACACATCGTTAGGCTCCATCCTCTTCCCAAGAGCAAGGGCAGAAATCCACAAGGCTGATGGAGTTAAGGAAAAGCTCTCCAGCAGTGAGGTCCAGAGCTGCGACCCAAGACTTTCTCCGCTGATCTGGAGAAGAAAGCAGTCTTTGGAAAGGTCTTTAGGATCTTACGGGCAAGAGAAAGCAACATCCAGCTCCTGTAGAAACAGCTGGCAAAGCTAAGGGTGCTTCACGGGCCGAGCAGGACAGGTCCGCCCTCGCGGTGGGGTGGAGGGCATTTGGACAGCTAAAAGCCAAACCAGGTTTACACCGAACCCTCCAGTAGCAGCCCTTTTCTATGAGATGAGGATGAGACTTGATGGTCAGGGAAAGCCCTTCCCAGGACAGGGTGTTCTCTGGAATGAGACTCTTCTCGATGAAAACGCAATCCCCTAAGCAAAGCTAAGGTGAGCCCCCTCCTGGGACGCCGGCAGGGATCTGGCCGATGTGCGGGTGGAACGGATCCAGTCTTCCCTCCCGCAGCCCAGCACTCCGGCTGCCTCACCAGTAATCCTCACGGCCAGGCAGATGGCATTTTAAAATTAATCTTTTTTGGCTTGGGTAGGCATATTTTTAAGTCTCTCCAATCCCATCTCCTCATTTCAGTCCCATCGGCGTCACCAGGGAAGTCCAGTCCTTTCTAGTATGGAAAATACCAAGGCAGCAGCCTTGCCCGACCCCTAAACAAGAACAAAAGCAGCATCCTAAAGCACAGGGGCGTTGCTCAGCTGAGATGCCAAAAAGCACAGCTAGCTACCTGCCCCCTCCGCCCCTCCAAAAGGTGGGACTCACCCTTCTGCCCCAGCTAACCCAGACTGAACCCAGCGTACCCCCGAAGGACAGGAGAGCCCCAAAGCCAGGCATGGCTCCGGGACCGGTCAGGCTTGGGAGCGTGATGCCCACCCACCACCCCCCAAATCCCTGCAGGGATGGGGGGGACAGCAGCGAGTTTCCAGGTGTTTCTTCCACCCCCGAAGCTCCTCTCCGCTTCCTCCCGCAGTGCTGAAGGGGCCAGGACATCATTGAAGCTAATCTGCAGTGAGCTCATGGATGCACGAGCAGCAGGAGGTGTGCCGGAGAATAGCTCCAGGCCTGTGCTGGGGATGCGAGGGATGCCGGGACAGCAGTGGGGATGGGTCTGCCGTGCCATCGCCGGCTGCTCACTTCGGTCCCTCCCCATCTCGGCTGCCCACAGTCCCCCCAAGGTGCTCGTGTCCCAGCCAGACCAGCCACCAGGTTCCTGCTGACCCCACAGACACCGGGGTGATGCTAACAGCACACGACGGGCAGGAGACATTTCTAGCACAGGTCTCCAGGAGAATACGCCTGCCGGAGCCCTTCTCCATCCTCCTGTCCATGCCAGGGTGGGAGGTGCAAAGCCGAGAAGCTGAGCACGGCCAGAGGGAGAGGCAGTTATCCCCATCCTGAGGACACCCTGCTCCACAGGGATCTTGACCCAAATACGCAAGGAAACCCCTCTGTGCGGCCACTCACCTGTATGTCCTCCCTCGCACCCTCGGGTGCTGCCCTCCGTAGTAGCCTCCCCGCTGGGCCAGCCCTCCCCGGGCTTGGAATCGGCCCCGGTAGCCCCCACGGTCAGTAGTGCTGATGCCCGGCATGTTGGTCCTCTTGGGCAGCACCTGGAAGGCATGGGGTGGCTCAGCCAGTGCTGCCAGCACCGGGGTTCAGCACAGCCCCACGCACACGGGGCTGGGAGGGACGGACGCATGCACCACCCCGGGGCCTCATCCAGCTCTTACCTTAATGACACGGCCTCTGAACACACTCTCGTCCAGCTCCACCGCAGCCTTCACGGAGCTCTTCTCTTCAAACTCGATGTAGGCGTACCTGCAAGGGGACGGGGTGAGCAGGGCCCCAGGGACACCCCCTGTTCCCAAAGGCTGGGGAGCACAGGGCAGCGCCCTCGACACCCCAGCCCCTGCGCACAGCGCTGACCCTTTAGGATGCCCCGAGAACTTGTCGCAGAGGATGGTCACTCGGTTGATCTGCCCACAGCTGTTGAAGTGAGACTCCAGCTCTTCCGCCGTGCCCCCATAGTCCACCTGCAATGACAGTCCCAGCCCCTCCAGTGCCGCTAGCCAGCCCCCCCGCCTCGTGGGTCTGCATTCGCACACCATCGTGGGAGGCAAAGGGCCCGGCTGACCCCAGCCACACCTTGCCACCACGGCATCACCATCTCCTGAGGTTCAGGAGACCCTTCCAGCTGAATGCTCCAGCCTGGAAACCCAAATCCAAGAGACAGCTCCCCCCCTTTGGGGGAACAAGCAATGCTGCACGACCCGCAGCTTCCAGCGGGGTATTTTGGGGAGCTGACACTTGCAACAGATTATCTGCAAGTGGCTGAGGATCACGGGCAGATGCTGAGCCACATTCCCAGTCTGGGCTGGGCAGAGGAGAAGCATTCGGGATGGGACCAGCCAGCCTTCGATGGGGGGCGGATGGGCCCCTGTGGTAGGGATCTCGGACATACGTCCAGCTGGGCAAGGAGCAGTGAGGTGGGCTCTGCTCCAGGGCCTCCCACTTACATTGCCCACGTAGATGGATCGCTGGTCAACCTCCATCTTCTCCTGGGTTGTCTTTGGGAAGAGACCTGCAGAGATGAGGGCTGCTCTGTCACGCTGGACAGAGTCGCAGGAGCCCTCTTGCAGAGGGACATCTGTCCGAGCGGGTCTGCTCCCAGCACGGCCACCACCGAGCTGACACCCTGCAAAGCTCCCCAGGTCCCTGGTCACATCCAGGCATACCCTAATCCCCACACTGCTGCCTCCTCCATCCCCTTGCCCCCCCTCTCTTCAC